TTCTTCCTTCCTTTCTCTCATTCTTTCTTCCTATCTCTTCCTTTCTCTCTTCCTTTCTTTTCTTCATTCTTTCTCTCTTCCTCCCTGTAGTCTCTCACTCTTTCTTCCTTTTTTTTTTTAAAGAAATCCATGTTATTTATCAAGTTCAATTTAGAGGTGGACGATATCTATGACATCATTTAGTCAAACCTTAGCATTTTAGAGTTAAGGAAAATGAGTCTAAAAGTTGTTATAGGACTCACCAATGTCACACAGGTAGTAAGTAGCAGTCAGGACTTAACTTCCTGCTTGGTCTCTACCTGACTCTGGCCTCTGGTATTCCTAATCTGACTTCAGACCTCAGCCTTCTCCTGCTTCACAACTGGTCACTTCTCTAGACCCAGGCTTCCTTTAACTTGATCTTGTGTTCCTAGTTTTTCCATTGGCCAAAGTCTATTTTTTGTGATCCCCTCTAACCTATATTCTGGACACAGATCCATGCAGAAGTATTTGAAAGATGTTGGAGTACCTGAGGGTTACAGACTTGCAGAATCACAAGAAGTGAGGCCTTCAGAGGCTGATTAGTCCAAACCTTGACTGTACAATAATTCCATTTGCAATAATGATAACTGAGCATCCATCTTTTTGGGGAAGAGTCTTTATCATTCATTCATTCATCCACTCTATCAAAAGCAGTATATTTTACTATTGTCTAGTTCCCATTATTAGGAAGTTCCCTTTAAATCAGTGAGCATTAGTTATCAATTTAAAGTAGGATAAGTATATTAAGAGATTGTACTATACTGTATGTTACTTAAAAAAAAAGAATGATTGATATCAAAAAGGTTTTTTTTTTTTTAATCATTGGGATCTGAGCTCTATGGGTAGCTAGGTGGCACAGTGGATGGAATACCAGACCTGAAATCAGGAAGAATTATCTTTCTGAGTTCAAATCTGGCCTTGGACACTTACTGGCTATGTGACTCTGGGTAAGTCACTTAACCCTGATTGCCTCAATTTCCTCATCTGTGAAATGAGCTGGAGAAGGAAATGGCATACCACTCCAGTATCTTTGCCAAGCAAGTTCCAAATGGGGTCACAAAGAATCAGATATGACTGAAAAAAAAAGACTAAAATCTGAGCTCTGTGGTTATTCAGATTTCACACAAGAAAATCACTTAATCTATGTCTTTGTCTTATTTTTCCTATGCATAAAACTGGGGCTAGTAGTTCATCGAGGTGCTTAAAAATATAAGTGAATAAAAATAGTGGAAGTGTGTTAAGATTTTATATACAAGCTCCATATAATGAAGGGCAATGGAATTCTTCCCTGAGCTAATCTTATTTAATAAAATGTGCTTTTCCCCTTACTTTTTGCTATAATTTAATCTTAGTGTTCTGTAAAGTCCTGCTTTTAGTGTCTGTTCTCAGCAGTGAACTGTTTGTCAAATTTCCATTAAGCTTAAGGTAAAAAATTAATGAGCCACTCACTTCAGATATTTCAGAACTAATACTAGTCTATTAGTAATGCCAGGGAAAGTCAAAGCTGTGGGTATGTACAATTAGAGTTAGGGATCATCATATTTAACTTTTGAAAGTTTATTATTTCACATCATTAGCAAGGCATTCTAGATCATCAAGGGAGTACATTTAATAGTCTTTTATCAACAGAGAAATTGATCTAAAAGATCATTTTTATTTATTGAAGTTTGTATTTGATCTAGTTCAAAATATAGTATTTTAAAGCAAAATGAATATTAGTAACACTTTGAAAAGTGTTAATAGAGCCAAAGGGGTGCTGGTGATGGGTGAGCATTGTATGTGAGGGATAACCAATGGGCTGCCTCTGTACTCCTCTACTATCTTTGTGATGTAGAGAGAAATTACCTAAGACAATATGCATTCTAGGTGGGTTCCCTGTGGCCAACTTATTGTGGAAGAAATGGTCAGATGTACAAAGAAAGGACAGACATGGATGGGCTCCGCTTATTGGAGATTATTTTTCATTTAAACAAGAACAGATATCATATTGAGTTATACATATATATACATATATACATATATATGTGTATATATACATATATATGTATATATACATATATCTATATGTTTGTGTGTAAATGTATACATATATGCACATAGATACATATGTATATAGAGATAAATATGACATATATAAAGAGAGATATATTTAAATATGAGACAGGTAAATATCCTTTACCTTTTTCAATTGATATTCTCCAGCATCATTTTGTAGAAAACGAAAGTTATAATGATTTAGGGAGTTGTCTAGGTAGAAATTTCAGGACTGAGTTTTAAAATAATTTTGGCCGGAAGTGTCAGCCTTAATGAAACTACAAATTATAGCAATCAACAAATATTTACTAAACTTCTATTCCAGGTGCCCTTTTTGAGCACAGGTCTCTCTATCTCGTCTAGGTTGGCAGTGCAGTGGCCGCTCAGAGAACTGATCCATTACTGATTGGCATGGCAGCTTTGAACTGTTCAATTTCTGCCTTGGACCTCTTCTTCCCACCTTAGGCAGCCAGATGGCCCCCTGCTTCCACAGGCACACCACACTGGTCCTGGATTAAGTGCTGATATCTGGTTGGTTTTATTCACTTCAGCTCAGGATTCCTGATCTCAAATGACCCATCAGCCTCAACCTCCTACGTAGCAAGGGATATAGGCGTGGGCCATCATGACCAGCCATATATGACTTTCGATATGCATTATATGGTTTATGATTTTTCATTTGTCACATCACTGGTGTTTGGTTCTCATATTGGTAATACTCTCATTTCTGATTAACATACATGACAGGAATGTAGTTGTCAGAAATTTGAAATGTGGATCTGGTAGAGAAAAGGAAATGTTTGCAAAGCTTCAAGGAGATCCAGAGGCCACTCTTCCCTCCTAGAATGGGGAAAAGGCTGGATTTGAACCTTGGTTCTCATGCATAATGGTTGGTTGAATTTGTGTAAAAGTCTAGGATGATAGGATCATAAACATAAATCTGGGAGGGACCTCAGACACCATCTAATCTGAAATGCTCTCATTTTACAAATTAAGAAACTGAGGCCTGGGGAAGTTGCCCAAGGTTAAACAGGTATTAAAAGTGGAAGAGTTTTGATCACCTAAGCTCTCAGAATAATGATTGTACTACCTTCCTCCTAGAGCTGCTGCGGAGAAAGGCCTATAAATACATACATTTTATATATATATATATGTGTGTGTGTGTGTGTATGTGTATATATATGTGTATATATATATGTGTGTATATATATATATATATATATATATATATATATATATACTTTAAGCATTTTGGGATCAGGCTTATTTTATTTTTAGCTTTTGTATTTCTAGTGTCTGACACAGTAAGTGCTTATTAAATTGAATTAAATTGAAATGTGTTATTCTGTTGCAACATTGAAATATTTTAATAAGTGCTTAATAAATAAATGCTTATTGAATTGAATTATTTTTATTCTCCTACAAAGTATGGACCTATCAAAGCTTATAGTACGAATGATCCTCACCCCAACTCAGGAGAAAGAGCTAGAATTCTTTTTTTTTTTTCCCTTAGGAGTGACTCTTCCTTTTCCTTAGAGAGGGCTTTTTTTTTTTTCCAGTAAACTTTAAAACCTAGACACTTAGCATTTTGTCCAGGCTTGTAGTTTTCAGGTAATAAATTAGGAGAACACTTTTATAACTTATTTTCTCATTTGTATATAGCCTGTCTTCTGATGCTTAGATCATAGTCATGTGAAGCACCTCACTCCTTGTAGCTCTGTGAAATTAAGTTGCTAAAAAATTTTAGTAATGTTTACCCCGCAGTAAAAGTGCTGGGGAAATATTGACCTGTACTGGAAGAAGCAATGGGCTGCTTGATGCTATGTTTCTGAACACACACACACACACACACACACACACACACACACACACACACACATCTAGAGAGAGAGAGAAAGGTGGGCAAACAAGGAGCAGGGGGGAGGAGAGAAGTGAGATACATACACACATACACACATACACACATTTATTTGTATATATAGACACATATAAATCATGCATGTATATATGTGTGTGTAATCTCCCCTTTTGACTCAGGATATATGCAGAATTGAACCAAGTTTTTTTGGTTCCTTTCTTCTGTAAACATATTTTGGCCTTCTTTTGTCTCTGGAACCCAAATAATCCTGATTTCTTCTTTGTACTTTCCAGCACACAAATCATTTTGAAATCACATCTCCCACCCCACCACCCCAACACTTCCAAGCTTTGTCACATTGGTGGGACCCAACAAGTGAGCAAACTGAATCCTAGAACCTGAGTTAGAGATGAGTAGCTGCCAACCCCCTTTCTCTATCCTGACCATTTGAGAGAAGAGTATCGTGTCACGGCTGATGTATGCTTTGTAGACCTAAGATAGCCCTTTTCTGTGCAGGACCTTTTGGAACTCTGTGTTTTTCCCTTCCTGAGCATCTCCTCCTGCCTTTCCTAATACAGATGAAAGCTCCAGAGAAAGCCGATCCGACCTCACACGGTTGCTGGTGCAGCCCATCTCCGCGTCTCTTGCTGCCGAACTCTTTGCTTTGCCCAAGGAGAGGTATCAGACTGATACATGCAGACCTCTGCAGCTCTCACATGATGGTAAGTCCACCTTGTCTATGTCTGCATCCTGAGGGTCAGGGCGCTCAAGATGAATTTCATAAAACTAGCCCAGCCTGTGGAGGAGAGCCCATTACAATGCAAAGTGGGTTGAGGGGGGGAGTCAGAGAAACAGAATCTGGAGCCTGTTTCTGCTGTTCACTCACTAATGACCTTGGACCAGTCACTTTCCATCACTGACTCTAGAGTCAGAAGACAGAGGTTCAAACCTTTCCTCTGCTGATCACCCTTCGTATGACCCTGGACAAGTCTCAGCATGTGTAGGCGTCAGACCTCTCACCTATAAAATAAGGGGGCTGGAGTAGAGGACCTCTAAGGTCTCTTGTAGCTTCAGACTTATGATCCTATGAGGATTACTCACTAACCTTGAAGGTCCTCGCTGTCTCTAAATCTGCCTTCTATACTACTCTGCCAGGCAGTGGCCAATACCTGAGTCTGTTAGACCTTCTTATCCTCCTTCTCTTTACTCTTGGTGATCTCATCAACTCTGATGTGTATGTGTATATGCGCACACATACATGTTGTGTATGCGCAACACATGAATATTTACACATGCAGGTACACATATGACATGCGTATGTTGTATTGTGCTTGGGTAGATATGCATGTGCATGGATATATGCAAGTATATAATGTTGTTTTTGTTGAGTCCTGTCTGACTCCTCATGACTTCATTTGGAGTTCTCGTGGCAAAGATACTGGAATAGTTTGCCATTTCCTTCTATAGCTCATTTTACAGATGAGGAAACTAAGGCAAAGAGGGTGAAATGACTTGCCCTGGGTCACACAGCTAGTAAGCATCTGAGGCTAGATTTGAACTCAGGAAGAAGAGTTTTCCTGATTCCTGGCTCTCTAGCCATTGTACTACCTAGCTGCAATATTCAGATGTATATGTATACATATATGATACATACTATATGCCCACGCATTTATATGTATATACTATATTTATTTTATTATATTTATATCATGTATATGATATATACTATATGTCCATGCAGTTATATGCATATACTATATTTATTTATATTACATTTATGTCATTTATATGATACATACTATATGTCCATGCATTTATATGCATATACTATACTTATTTATATTACATTTATATCATTTATATGATATATACTTTATGTGCATGCATTTATATGGAGATATATGCCGTCTCCGTAGAACGTATGTTACTGGAGAGGATCGTTTTCCTCTTCGTCTTGGTATTCCCAGCATCTAACACGATAATTGACCCATAGTAGTTCCTTAATATACACTCCCTGATTGACTGAGGTGATCCTATGGCCCTGTTCTGTAATTCTATAAAGGGCACATTTGGGGAAATGGCATGAAGAAACACCTGATATCTGCCCCAGCTGAGAAGCCAGCCCGGCTCCAAGGGCCATGAGCTGCCCCGAAACCCCCAGCTCTGCAGATAAAGCAGCGATGGATGCATTTATGGAAATCTGCTTAGTTTTGTGGGTCCAGACAGCAGCTTCAGTGGCCCTCTTCCTTCAAGATTCAGTGGGTAGTAAGGAGTTAGGGAGCTGAGGCATGGAGTCTTTTAGTAGACAGCATTAAAGCCTAATTCCTTCAATTGACTAACAAATCCCTCCATCTTTTCCACATCATCAGCCAGGAGATGCCGCTTGAGCCGCAGTGCACTTTGTCAGGCCTTGTTGGCTGAGGAAGCCCAGGAGCGAAGCATCCGCGCTTCCTATAATAGTATGAACGCCACAACTTGGAGCTTGTTTCTGCCTCAAGCATCAGCATTTGAGTTCTAACAAGCAACTAAAAAAAAAAAACAACATGTTGTTACATTTGGTTTTGTTTGTTGTAAAATGAAGCATGTTTTTCTGCCCAGACCTGGGGGGCACTTCTACCATGTGTTGTATCTGAACACTCTGCTCTCTGGAAGGCAAGAAAGGCATTAAAGAGAATGCTTGGAGGAGGCCTGTGAGACAGGGATGGATTCAGGATAGCTTCCTGCTCACACTGAGATCTTGCAAAGTCATACAGATTATTAGCCTCACAAACACATTATTGATTTGAGCAAAGCACAAAAACTCAAATTGTCTGTAAGGCTAGGCCCGAGCGGGGATGAGAGTATGGTGGGATGAAACACCATTTCTGCATTGTTACTGTGTGCTGGCCCAACTCTCCACTGAGGGAAGAGGAGACAGAGTGACCCCAAGTTCTATTTGTTAAAAAAAAAAAACAAAACATTGGCAGCTACCACCCTGCATATTCCCTTAAGTAGAGAACTGTATTTTTTTTCTTTCTGGTATTTTCAAGGATATACAATAATCCCTCTCTCAAGCAAAGTCAGAGATGTTTGCCTTTAAGGCTTTTGTGACTCAGTCATTTCATCTGGGGGGGAATAAGAGGTGGGACAATGGAAAGAACTTGGAGCCATGGGGAAGATGAGTTCAAATCTTGGTTTTATGTGTTACTAGCTGGGAGACTTTGGCCAAGTTACATTTTGGTGTCAGTTTTCTCATCCTTATAACAAGAACATTGGACCAGATGACCTCTGAGGTCCCTATTGCCTCCAAACTGGTATCTTGGAGATGAGTCCTACTGTGTGCTATGGACCTAGGAATAGTGACGTGATATTTCCACTGGTCCTAACAGGATCACGTCTAAAGGATTGTCTTCAGTTCTCAGACCCACATTTTGAAAAGGGGGACAGAGTTCAAAGAAAGGTAACCATAATGTTCAAGGGCCTTGAGTTCAAGCTATTTAAGGATGAGTTAAAGGAACTACACATGTCTCGCCTGGAGAAGAAAAGACTTGGCATTCAGATATTTGGAGGCGGTTATTAAGAAGTGAGGAAATGCTTATTATTTTTGGTATCAAAGAGCAGAACCTAGAGCTACGGGCAGAAATTGCAAAGAAGCAAGTTTCGGTTTGATAGAAACAAACAAAAGTCTCTGAATGAATTAATTAATAATTCAGGATGTGTCGGGATGGTGAGGAAAATATGAACCCCAAGTCCCTGTCCTCAAGGAGTTTGAGATCTAATAGCGGGAGACCACAATTATAAGGTATTGGTGGTCAGGGAGAAAAGTTTTTGTATGGGCAGTCACAGGGCTGGTGAGTGGATCCATAGGAGAGTTACATAAGATGCCTATTCCAGAAGCATTGCTGGTGTTGATTTGACTACTGGAGCGAGAACAAGAGGTATAAGGAGAATGAGGGTGAGGGCAGGTGGGATAGTAACAATGTGAATTTTGTAGCAAAAGTGGAATGAGTGGCCTTGACTAGTGGGGAGTTTCTTTTCCTTAGAAATCTTCAGAGACAATATGGATGACCACTTGGTGGATATGTTTCAGTAGAGGTTGCTTTCCTGTATGGTACCCTCAGAAGGCCACTGAGTCCCTTCCAATTTTCAAATGCTGTTGGGATTTAGATGACTGAGTTAGTGATTGAGCCATCTGTACATCTGGGTCATTAAATGGAAGGCAGGTGCAGCTAGTTGGCACAGTTGATAGAGCACTGGGCCTAGAGTCAGAAAGACTTGAATTCAAATCCAGTCTCAGACACTTAGTAGCTTTGTAACCCATGGCAAGTCACTTGTATCTGAACTTTGCTTTGTACTTTGCTTCGGTTTCCTCATCTGTAAAATGAGCAGGAGAAGGAAATGGCAAATCACTCCAGAATCTTTGTCAAGAAAACCATAAATGGGGTCATAAGGATTTGGACATGGTTGAAACAACTACAACAACAAATTTAAGGCAATTTTAAATTCACCTACCATGCAATCTTTTGAAAACGTTTCTTTGATTTTTCAGAAATAGTTCATTTCATAGTTTGTTCGTTTTTGTTTTTTTTTTGGTGAATGTATTTTTTAAGTTTTTTTTCCAAATATAATATATAAGTGAATCAAGATATCTATCTATGTGTACACACACATACACACACACATACACACACACACATACACACACACATGGAAAGAAATCATCTTGCCGAGTAAGGCCTGTATAATCACAAGTACGGTTCTTCCAGTAGTAATGTATGGTTGAGAGAGCTGGATTGTAAGAAAAGCTGAGTGCCACTGAATTGATGCTTTTGGGTTGTGGTGCTGGAGAAGACTTTTGAAAGTCCCTTGGACAGCAAAGAGATCAAATCAGTGAAATCTTAAATTAATTCAGACCATTCATTGGAAGGACAAATACTGAAGTGGATGCTTAAATTCTTTGGTCACACGGTGAGAAGACAAGACTTATTGAAAAGACCCCGATGGGCAAAATTGAAGGCAAAAGGTGAAGACGATGGCACAAGATGAGATGGATAGAGAGCGTCTTAGAAGGAATGCACATGAGCTTATATAAACTTTGGGACAGAGTGGAGGATAGAAGGACCTGGCACGCTTAGGTCCATGGAGTCGCAAAGAGTTGTACATGACTGGATGACTGAGAAACAACAAGTAGATACCCACACATACATATGTACACACATATATATGTGTACACACATACACACACACGTATATATATATACATATATACATACATGGAGAAGAATTACAGAAAAATGGTTTAGTTATAAGCTTACAAATATTCAAGCCAAAAGTGGTAGTGTTTTTTCTTAGTGTATGTTTTACATAATTTTATATTACACTACTTTAAAAGTATAATAGAATTTGATTTAAAAAACTAATTTTATGACTTGTACTTTAAAATGAAGCTTTCACTACAAAGTGTAGAGGAAGTTGTCATCTTTAACTAGTGGGCTCCAACTTTTCATCCTCCAATCCATTCTGGGAATCCAGAAAGCCTGTACAGATAAATGGACTACCCATCCTGCTCATTCACAGCTTTGTATTCTTAATCAGAGTTATCTAAAACTGGGTGCTACAGTGATTGCATGGTGGGTCTGAAGTCATGACGATGTGAATTGTCTGTCCTTGGATATTTACTAGCTATGTGGCCCTGGGCAAGTCCCTTAACCTCTGTCTGCCTCAGTTGCCTCAATGATAAATT